AGAGGAGGGGAAGATGGACAAGAAGGGGGAGGAGGAGGCGGAGGAGGAGGAGAAGATGGAAAAGAGGAAGGGGGAGGAGGAGGGGGAGAGGGAGAAGGAGAAGCGTAGGAAAGAGGAGGAGAAGGTGGAAGAGGATGATGCATGGACCAGCGAAGCATACGTCAAAACCATTGTGTAAGACGAGTTACATGTATAGGTTGTCGACGTTGGCGCGCACGAATGTAACAAGTCCATCCACAGGCCAATGTCGAAGGAGCATGGGAAAGCAAACACGGACAAGCATGGTTGCCGCAGTTCTGAAATCATGCCAATTGTCACAAATCTGCTCAAACCGCGTAAGCTCGCCGGTGAACACACCTGCAGGCTGATGAGACAGAATGTTTGACATTGCACTAGGATATCGTACAACAGGAAAATCCCATGCAACTGTCTTGTCAAACACACTCAATCGGAGAGATCCATCTGCTCGTGTCTGCAGTTTCGCACCTAAAAAAGTGCAAGAGCCATCAACCGCAGTGGTCTACTTCCATTCAAGACCATAACAGGTTGGCGATGGTGGCAGACAACCAAAGGTAAGAACATCATCAATGAACCAATAAGTGAAAACATATCGGCGAGCTGCAGAGGGATCCACGCGCTGCAGATTGTCCACGTACTGCGCCTCATCCCAATAGAGTGTTAGGTTAGCAATCTCAGGACCAGCGTTTGTAACCATGGGAATACCCACGTCTTGATGACGAACAAGGCCATCCGCTGTATATAGATATGTATTAGTAACAATAAACCGAAGATGTTGAAGAATGTCAGACACAGAAAAAGTGTCAGATCCTGTATCCGTAGTCCATTCCCCTGCACGCGGTCCACGGACCACCATACGAAGAGCAACACAGGATGAGCATGTCCGTGTACGTTGTTGTGCCTGTGCAAGAGCATAGGCATGTGCCTCATCAACAGCCTTAGCAACATCGTCAAGAATCCGTTGATGAGAAAGATTAGTATACATAGTAGTGAAATTGACCGTATGGGGGGCCAGACCTCGGAGAGAAGCTTTATTCTTTTTGAGGCCAAGCATGATCTCGTCACTGCTCTGGACAATCCAACATCGACGAATACCTTCGGATTGGAAGAGTTGATTATCTTTTTCACGGAGAGTACGGATGACGCCTTGAAACGCCGCACTCAAACGAGCCGATGTATGTGCCGTACTAGCAACAGGCTTGTGAGGCGGTCGGTGATGCAAACGCTGGACTCGTTGGGAGGGCCACAGGTCACTTCGCTGGGCCATATGAGAAGTAGAAAGATTGTTGCGGGCAGAGATACCAAGAATAGTACGGAGTGTGGGAGGAGACTTATGGGCCTCAAGAGCACAATAAAGATTCGGCAATGTGTCAGCATGAAGATAATTCCAATGATATGGACCTGCAAAAACACAGACTGACAACACTGCTGATTTCTGAGTTTTGCCGCTGGAATGTATGCCTTGCTGAGATTCCCGCGTTTTGCTGAGTTTTCTAAGTCTGTGAGTGTGCGTGCTTGCTGGTCCGCGTGCCTGTCTGAGTGTTTGTCGGTCTGAGTGTGTGGCCCGCCAGGGCACTCGTTTGTTCGGGAGGCCCGTGTGTCCAGTACTTACCTGCTGTGACTTTTGGGGTTGCAGTGGGGAAAACACTCGAGTGCCCAAAGGGGTAGCTTAGGGCACACTCAAGCAGTGTAGCGTCGGTACTGGTAGCACTTAAGTGGTGGGCTGCGCAGAAGAAGACAGAACGTAAGCACCTTTAGGGGTAGAGGTCGGGTAGTGTAGGTCTAGGGCCTGTAGAAGTACAGATCAGGTCTGCAATGATGTTTTCCTCCGAAACAGAGGAGGTACCTGTTGCTTGGGAGGCCACCGAGCAGCATGGAAGTCACTGCCCAAGAGGCTGGTAGGCCGCTATACGGCAGAGGGAAGAAAAGTGGTAAAGTCCGAACGTTCTGTGGATTTGGGGGGGGAAGGGGGGGGGGGGGGGG